GTTTTCTTGTCATTTGTCTATCGTCTTTTTCGTTTGCATGATTATTAATATCTAGAGTAATGCAAGTGTTATATGTAATATATCTAACGAATGGAATGCGATGCAATAATGGCAAAACAAGAAAATCATTTAACCCGTTAACTGCCATTTTAAAACCTGGAGGCCTGTCTCTCGCTTCCAAATATCTTGAAATGACGTTTGGTAATTACACTTCCCCTCCACGTATGAACCTTCTTTTTACTTTATACTTCCCATAGAATTTTTTTTTTTTTTAATAAGAGTAAGAATTATTTTTGATAACTTTTATTTATTTGCCGATTATTGCATACTACTGAAGGATCACCGGAAGCTTAGGCCACAGCATTTCTTTCTTTTTCTTGAATAGCTGACCCGCCGACATTTATTTCCAAGAAAAGGGAAAAAGAAAGAAAATCCCGATTTTTAAAAGATTTCCCGCTGATATTAATACAAATTAATGTGCCTATGACTGACTGTGTATGGCACCGTTTCTCCCGTCCCCCAAAAACAAAAATAAATTATATTTGGCTGGAAATACCTTACTCTCATGGGTTATGTCATGTCTATTGTCTATCGTGCCCGTGGTCGGTGGTCGCTTCTGATCAGTACTGACGTGTTTCGCAATATGCCTAAAGACCCCGATAAGTAGGATTTAAACCCTCGCATCCAAACATCAAAACAGAAGTGGCCATGGCGAGTGGTGTGCAGGCCGGACCGCTGTTTCAACGAGCAAGGTGGTGTGACCCAAGATGGCATGTAAAGTTATACGGAAAATGGCCAGTAACGTTTTCATTCAGGGAAGTGTTCGATTCCTTGCCGGATTTCCCAAAATAATAAATTCTGCTTGAAATTAATCCCTTGTCTGTTTTCATTCAGGGAAGTGTTCGATTCCTTGCCGGATTTCCCAAAATAATAAATTCTGGTTGAAATGAATCCCTTGTACGTTTTCATTCAGGGAAGTGTTCGATTCCTTGCCGGATTTCCCAAAATAATAAATTCTGGTTGAAATTAATCCCTTGTACGTTTTCATTCAGGGAAGTGTTCGATTCCTTGCCGGATTTCCCAAAATATTAAATTCTGGTTGAAATTAATCCCTTGTGCGTTTTCATTCAGGGAAGTGTTCGATTCCTTGCCGGATTTCCCAAAATAATAAATTCTGGTTGAAATGAATCCCTTGTACGTTTTCATTCAGGGAAGTGTTCGATTCCTTGCCGGATTTCCCAAAATAATAAATTCTGGTTGAAATTAATCCCTTGTACGTTTTCATTCAGGGAAGTGTTCGATTCCTTGCCGGATTTCCCAAAATAATAAATTCTGGTTGAAATTAATCCCTTGTCTGTTTTCATTCAGCTTTCATAAGACTTGTAGTAAGACAGAACTGTACTTCCTCCAAGTGGGATTGGAACTAAGACATTCCTTTACTTATGATCTTTCCTCCCACTTATATTTCATTATCAATAGACTTGCTCGCCATTCAAGAAAAAAAAATATTGCTGTGGTCTTAGTGCTCAGTTTACGGACTAGAAACATGAAAGAATTCTAAGAGGCTGAAACAACGTACTTAAATGTGTCATATAAAAGAATAAAATAATTAATATCAAATCTCTATGAACCATTGAAACCAAAATATATGCATAAGGGAATACAAAAATAAAAGAAGAAATGATTCAATTGCTATCAACACAGACCTAGGCCTTGGAAAGTACTGCAATTTTAAAATCTTAAAAGGTTCAAAGGAAGGGACATGCAGTTAAGTGGTCTCGTTTGTTAGTTTAATGCGACCTCCCTTTCTCC